TGTGTGTGTGTGTGTGTGTGTGTGTGTGTGTGTGTGTGTGTGTGTGTGTAGGGTTCAACATAGGGCCAGTGCCCTAAAAATGCCAGCGTCTATTCCCGGTCTGTGTGTGTGTGTGTGTGTGTGTGTAAATGTGTGAATGTCACCATTCAAACCAAGCTCCACTGACCCAGTTCACATTTTTACCGCATCCTGTTTCAGAGAGATGACTGCTTGTTCGTGTTAGTCATTTCCGTTTAGCTTCTTCTTTTGTGTGTGTGCGTGTGTGCGTGTGTGTGTGTGTGTGTGTGTGTGTGTGTGTGTGTGTGTGTCTCACCCTGCTCGGAATCCGTCAGCAAGAGGACGTCGGGATGCTCGGGATCGTCGGCCATTATGGCCATCAGACCCACCACACACACGGTCTTACTGGACGTGGACTTGAACTGGGCAGAAGAACAAGAGGAAACAAGAGTTTAATTCTCTTTCTCATGGCGACTGTTCCGTCTAAATGCTACTTAAGAAGAAGAAGAATCATTAACACAGGCTTTGTGTGTGCAGAGCCTGCATGTGCTCTCCACAAGGTTCTCATTAGCCAGTGAGTGACACACAAGACTGCAGTGATGTCATTGGTCTCATTATTCAATGAGTGCTACCATCTGTCTGTCCCCCCACTGCGTCACACTTCGTCCCGTCCAGCCCCCCCCCCCCCCCAAAGCACGCACACTCACAACATCTCACGTCCACTCAGTCACTGTTTTCTTCCAGTTCTTATTGTTCTTTCTTCCCTCCTCTGAGCTCCTGTATAGTTTCAGTAAATGTTCCTGTCAAAGTGATGAAGTCCAAACACACACACGCACACACTCCACTTGTTTTTAAATTATGCCAAAACTACATGAAAAATCTGTAATTTGCATTTTTTTCCCCATGATTTCCATTTCCTGTGCATACCGACTGCAACACACAAAGAAGAATCAGTGTGTTGCCCTGAGTTCATTCTGTTATGAAGCTTTCTAAGTGAGTACGTAATGGCTATCATGTGTCCTCTCCTTGTTAAACAGTGTTTTGGGGCCATTCCGTGTATTTACTCTGATTTCTATCAACAGCTGCGGTTCACATGGAAGAAATCGGAGACTGCAGTTATGTGTCATCAGTTGTTGTCCTCGCCTGCCGAAAAATAAACCAACCTCTGAAATCTCTATCATCTGCTGCAGAAATAGTCAGAGGATGGCGACTTACATGTTTCCTCTCGGTGGCCTTCAGGGACTTGGCAGGGTAGTAGTAGAGCTGTGTTCCGCAAAGAGCGACCCAGTATTTGGTCCATGACGCCACCTGGAGACACAAAGGTGAAATCAACTCCACTTCAGCCTGATTGAGTCAATGAGATGCCTCAGTACGGTCCTCGTGTGCCATCAGACTGTGATATTATTATGCGTCTGGTTCTGTGCTGCTTCGCTGACTAACAGAGCTTTGACTGGGACAGATAAAGAGACCAGATTAGAAAAGGCAGAGCCGGGGAGACGGATCACAGGGGAGAACACGGTGTGGTTTGGGGGGGAACTTAAAGCCCTCGCTTGTCTGTGCTTCGTTGGATGACCGGAGAATAATTATGCAACATTTGCATCTTGTTCCATAAACACTGAAAGCTGTGGAGACGAAAGGTCCAGACACACCAAACCGACATCAAAGAACTACTGGCGCCAGTGTCTCGGCCAAAAAAGCTGCACTTGAACACAGCGCAGAGAGTACAGCCAACAGCCAACTAGCACGTACGTCCTGCACCCGCATGAGAGGAAATATCTCTCCACACCAGCAGGTGGCGGTAGTCTGTATTGGTCATACAAGAAGGGAAACTCTCGCTCAACACTTATGTCATTGTGAAAATCGTCGTTGTGTATTGGAATGACCAGATGAGAGGATAATGATAAGCGCTTCTCTGCATGTGGCCTCTTCTCTTCAGTCACTTGCTGGCTTTACTCAATTCTGTTTCTCTTCGTGCACCGATTTGCTTAAACTGAAACTGCCAATCAGAGTGATTTCTCTCACCGACGGACTCAACATGCTGAATTGGCTAAAGGCCTCCGGCACGGGTCTACTAGGGGGAATGAGGGAAGAGGAACGGACAGAAACAGAGATGTTCTGCAAAATATATATATATATGTATGTGTATGTGTGTGTGTGTGTGTGTGTGCGCGTGTGTGCACGTGATCTCACTGTTGGTTTCTTGCCCTCCTTGAGCACAGTCTTCCTCCTCAACACCCCCTGCACTGTGACCGCTCCGGGATACAAGTGAACCGCCAGCTCCTCTGACTCCGCTGAGCTACAACAGGACAAAGAAAAAACATTACGAGCTGTAAACGCAACCACGCACACACAACAAAAATGCATGTTCTCAAGCACGTCAGATCAAAATCAAGAGATGAACTAGTAGTAAAAAAAGGCCGATGCAATCTGCAAAGCCACCTTAAACTCTGCTTCGTTAAAAGTACTTTTCTTTTTGTTAATCTATTTCCGTCTTGCTTTTACAGGACTGAATTTCACAGACATAAATCTTAACACTGGTATCGGCAGAGAGAAGAGCAGCGGTGCACAAGGTGGTGTGCAGATTGTGTCTGTCTGGAGGATCAGAGCAGGAAGCCCAGTGCAGGAGCCCAGTGAAGCCTGGTGGAAAGAGAGAGAGAGAGAGACAGAGAGAGAGAGAGAGACAGAGAGAGAGACAGAGAGAGAGAGAGAGACAGAGAGAGAGAGCGCAAAACGGACGCTTTTATATGCAACATCCCTGAGAATTGGCTTCAGTGACCCTGAAGAGTCTGTTCCTCTCTACCTCAGGAATGAGGATGCAACCGGTTGTTTCCAGCAACACATGGTGGAAACTTTTCTTTTTTTTTTTAGCTCCAAGCTGTGAAAATATCTTGGAAATGTATCACAAGAAGAAGCCCAGGTTGACGTGTGTGTGTGTGTGTGTGTGTGTGTGTGTGTGTGTGAGAGAGAGAGAGAGAGAGGCAGACATGCAAGAAGTTTAAGAAAAGCAAAAGGTGGATAATAGACTGATGGTACGCAGCAGAAGATGAAGAACCATGAGCCCAGACAGATCATTTGCCCTTCACCTGATTTCACCAACACACACACACACACACACACACACACACGTTTCCCACCACCAGCTTATCCCAGCACTACACACACTCCAAGCACCAGCACACAGCGGCCCCCCTTTGCAAGGGACTGAGGGGCTGTGAAGTGAGGACAAGAGAGGGTTTGGTTCAGCTCAGGTTGGTTCCGGTCGGGATGTGTGTACCTGCTGGACCTCAGGACTCCTCTGTAGGGGATGCGGGCCACGCGGGTCACTGGGCCCAAAGAGTGATAGAACCGAGTCCTGTTCAGAGTAGGATAAGACAGGATAGAATAGGGGGGGGGGGGGGCACGGGACACTGTTAAGGCTGTGAGGGTGCTTTATTTCTGGTTGGCTGGATGAAGGGAGCAGTCGTTTGGTTAGAGGAGTTATAGATGAATGTGTGTACAGGGTTATTCCAACAGTTTGAAGAAAATGGTGTATTTCCAGGCCAGTTGATTGTTGAACTGGTGAGTGAGGCTACGGACACTTGTTTGCACAGAGGGAGTACTGGTTAGGAGGGGTTTCAATGTCACGCTCTTCATCAATTTCAGGCTGCAGAGGCATCTGTGAGCAGCGGTGGAGGCGTGACGGCTCTGGGTGCAAGGCAGAAAGCAGGGCGGGGCGCGGCATTCGTGCGCGAGTTTTAATGGCCGATCATTTTCGCATAGCCGTGTCTTGAGGCCAGAGCTTTGAAAATGATACAATCACATCGGGGACGGATTTTATGATCTTACACGTGGATGTGATGGAAAGAAAATAAACACTGCAGACACGGACGTAGCAAGCTTACCTCTCAAACGCTGGCCAGGACACCTCTTCGCTGAGCTCAGAGCCCTCGCTGCTCCCTGGGGACGGATACCAACCGTTTACACACTCATTGATGATACAAACTGTGCATTATGGTCATAAGTATCCACGTGCGAGACTTACCAAGTGAAATACCACTAGACAGAGTTGAGCTCTCTGCATGTCCCCTAGTGGGACTGTGGCTCTCCATCACGCTGTCGTCCAGCAGGTGCCGAGAACCAGCATTGGGGAACGTGGCACTTTTAAACTCCACCGTGTTCATCTTATGGATAAAACTACGTGGACACAGAAGGAAAAATAAAGAGGTAAATATTTCTGCTTCACGACTGTAGATGCTTTTATGCATCGCAGAACGATGAAAATACGGTCCATCTGCAGTACCTCATTGTAATACAAACTATAAAAAAAGCAAACTGACTTGTAGCCCAGGCTGTGGCACTTCCTGTGTCCGTAGGGCAGCAGGTTCCTGGGGGAGGGCGGTGTGGCCGGGACTTTGGTTCCATCGGCTGCTATCGAACATTTACGGCCGCAGAGAGGAGACGCTGCCGCTTCCTGGCCTGCAGGTGAGAGCGGGGAGGGAACATGAGACGGTGTAAAATATGGACGTAGTCTCCGTGACGTCACCCATAGGTTCCTGGAGAGTCATTGTGGCTCCGGGTGGTCGCCATCTTGGTGGTGCCAACTCTGCCTAATTCCCGGAAAATACCCAAAAATGGGCAAAGGGGTGGATTGTCAGTGGAGCTGAGGCGGGCTACGAGGTCCCTCAGGTCCCTAAACGCTTGCAGTCTTGCAAGCGTTTAGGGACTTGAGACGGCACCCACCTGTCACTCAAAGTAGCCACGCCCGTATTTATGCACAACTTAAAGCCGCAATATAATTGGAATGGGGTTGTTATGTAAAAGCTCAGCCCCTGTAAAGTCATCATGAACAGGGGAATTGGCTATAGAGACCAAAATCTCTGCTGTAAAGTTGGGCATTTTCACATGGAGATCAATGGGAATTGACTCGCTTTGGACTCAGCCTCAAGTGGTCAATTTGAAGAATTTGGATTTTTCTGCACTGGAGGTTGCCGCTTGGGAAAGAAGGATGAATGTATAGCCCAGGAAGAGGAGAGGGAAAAAGATGATTAACAGGTTTAATACGACACTTAACACCCAACGTACCCACAAGATCATCTTTGGAGGCGTTTGCTCGTGGTGTGCTGGTGCCTGGCTCAATCTTCTGTGACAACCTAAATAAAAAAAACACTGATTAATCCATCAGGTTGAGTTCATCCTCTGAGAAGTTTTCATCATTAAAAAAAATGATTTTTGGGGACGAAAGAAACACCTAAAACCTATTTTTGATCTTCCTGGCAGGAAAATTGCTCCTGCAACGTCTAAGTTTGGTTTCTTACTTGTAATTGTCGTCCTCCACAAACTTCTGCAGCTCCTCGATGTACCGGACTGAGTTGAGATACTTCTGCACGTGAGGCAACACTAGTACATCTGAAAGACAAACATGTCATCTAAAACTAACAATATATCACGCTGTGAAGCATGTCTGGAGTGAGGATAGTCGTTCCTGCAGTAGGAACTATTTTCTTTCCACCAAACTACACCCGCCAACCGTATCACCGCACAGAAGGAAGCGTGCATCTATACTCAATACCGCTAGCTTACTTAGCACCTCTGAGCTAGCTATTGTTGTTTACATGTTCATGAGTAGATGTACACTTCCCTCTGCACGGTGATACAGTTGGCAGGTGTAGTTTGGTGGGAAGAAAATAGTTCCTACATGAAACTGCTCCCAACAAGGCCTGTGGATTATGCTGTGTAACAGATAAGACATCTCTATGGCAGAGATCTCCAAAACTCGGCAAATCACACAAAAACAATCTGATAGAAAGCACTAAGGTAAGAGGACAGACTTTGACTGTTGAATGCAGATCTTAAAGAAGAATTGATGAATGCTAAAGACTCTTTCATTGAGTCTCCATGGCCACAGAAAAGTGGCCAGGCTTTGATGCAGTTCCCTCGCAGCCTTTACAGAGACTCCCTCCTGCTTTGTTCTTCCACATGATGGACATAATCAGACCTCAGAGTACAGTGAAAACTTGTAATGACATTCGTGAGCTGCCTTCCTCACACATATGAAAAGCTAGAGTTGGTTTGTTGAAATTCTCATTACATGCTAATGAATGTAATGCTCTAATAAAAGTAGAATGACCGCCTCACGGTTGTAGGCATCTGCCAGCCAGTCATGTTGCATCACGTCATCATTTTATCCTACTAAGACATTTGTCTAAAATGGTCATAATTAACATACAAATTGTTGAGTTACGGAGAAAAAAACAAAACGTGTTTTGTGACCAAATTCTAATCAGTTCCACCTTGAGTGCGAGTGGACGTTTGTGCCAAATTTGAGAACATTTTCTCAGGGCGTTCCTGAGATATCTGGTTTACGAGAATGGACCAGATGGACGGACGGCCAACGCAAAAACAAAATGCCTCCGGCCACGGCTATAGCTGGCAGAGAGGCATGTGTCAGGACTGGAATTCGGGCATAAATAACTTATTGGCTACCTTCTTACACGCACTCTGCCATCATCGGAGTCTTCTACATGCTGCTAGCTTGACAAGCTGTGAGTACTACCAACAGCCATGTTTGTTTATAATCATCATGATCATTTTGGCGGAGTAGCTTTGGAGGGAGGCCTGAAAATATGTGCCGTGATTGTTGCAGACTTGGCAACATTCTCCCTAGATTTATCAACTTTTGCAGCTAGTGCTGAGAGCTACTTTTACTGCAAAAGAGTTGGAAACACTGGTCTGGGTTTTTTCGGTTGGCCAATATAAATCTAGCGTACTCTTGCTGAAGCTTAAACCCGAGTCCTCCAGTCTTTTCTCGTTGTGTTGCTCAAGCTTCATGTCACCAGCTTCCATTGAAAATGACTGGCAGCTTAACTCACCGTAGGTACAGGATCTCTGTAGGTCCGATATGATTCTGAGGATGTTGTTCATCAGGTTCGATCTCTGTTCGTTCTCCAGGATGCTGCCCGTGGAGGGATAGGCCGAGTCGATATAGGTCAGATCGGACAGGTACATCCCTGAAACAAAGCAGAAAAAGACGCCACATGTTACATCAAACCGGGAGAAACACACAGCCCGCCTCGTTCTGCCTCTCATCCTTGATTAAGTCAAGGGCCGAATGAGGACGGCGTCCAGCTGTCGGAGGCGTTTTTACCGGCGGGGTAATCGGGTATTTTCATGCCCGAACACGGAAAGCTCAGCTCATTAGAAAGCAAACACGAGGCTGGACATCGCAAACATGGCCAGAGTTTTGTTGGTGCGTGATGCAAGCTGCAGCTGTGGATTTCTCGGTGTGAAGACCAGCTGGTGATCACAGACTGCTTGTTTGATATGAAGGAGATGGGAATAAGAACCCTGCACAGACTCTCCTATTCGCAATATTTTGCTGAAGTTTCAAGCAGACCTTTTTATTTTTGTTTTCTGCCCTGATCTGCTCCCCATGGATCCAAATGCCTTGTGCGGATGATTGATTGTCTCTTCAGCCTTTCCAACTTAAGTCCATCTCCCCCGCCAGCCATGCTCCGTCTCTTCTTCCCTCATATTGGCATACTACATGACACCCACGCTCAGAAAACTGTGTTTTACTCACAGATGTGCGCACGTACACACGCAGTCTAAACACAGATGTAAAAATAAAACAACAACAGGACCAGATCCAGCAGATAAAAAGGGCCGGAGCTCATCTTCAGGATCACACACACACACACACACACACACACACACACACACACACACACAC